TCGTAAAGGCGGCTATGTGGCCGCAACGAAGCATTATGTGAGCAAGGATCTGAACATCGAAGTGCGTCCGTTCATAGAAGTAAATGACGGTCTGACAGCGGAAATGATGAAGTGATATTGAGCTTGCCCACGCGTACGATCGTGTTGTGAGAGGCCATTTGGTAATGCATTCCAGCACTTGCCATGTGCTTTGTAATTTTGAGCCTGACCCTGCCGGTCTGGTTGTCACTACGCTCATAATTAATATAATGGCGCGTGCCAGCTAGCTCAAATCTGACTTCAGCATCGTGGTTACGACATGCGGGACGAACGTGGTACAGCATTGCATGGTAGAGCGTGTATCCTTCAACAGTGGCGATGTCCATAAAGATGTGCCATGAACTAAATTTTTCACCTAACCAGGTAATAATATATGGAGCTGTTACACATCGGTATACCATTGTGATGCGTTTGCCTAAACGAAGGCCATAAAAATTTCTTCTTCGCGTGGTTCCTCCTATGACCAGAAAATTACGATTCCACGGTAAGCAGAACACAAGATCTTTACCATGCTTGATAGAAGAGAAAATCGTATAAGCATTGATTGAAGAGAAAGTAAGGTGACTGTAAAAATCACGTTTTAAATAAGAATAACCTCATCTGTTATCTTTGGTTCTTGCGTTCGTGATCATGCTGAAAACCATCATAGAAACAGTTTACTAATATACACTTCAGGAAGGTTGAGGAGTCTGAGGATTTGTCAGTAGAGATGCTTTTGGTCCGTACTTCACTGATTTTCCTCAAAGGAAAAAGATGGTAATGTTCGACGAATGTTGAAGTTGTCTGGAGCCGGTTGGCTCAAAACATATGAACGTTCTCAGAATTTTGCCGTCATTTTTACCTTGAAAAAGGCTCCTATGGCATTAGCCCAAAAAAGGTACCGATTAATCACCCAAATAGCGAACTGTTGCCTGTATCCTATATTTATAAACTGTTCAGCATATTGCATAAACGTAGTTTTGCATGATATCCAAATAAAATGCTGAAATAATACGGGCACATAGACTTGTGGGTTGTCCATCGCATCCATTTCAAACAACGTTGATTTCCAAATTTGCTAGAAACGTGAGAAACCATATTAAGATTTAAATTAAATTTTTACATGTGCAAAAATCAGGTCCAATTACCTTGAACTTCTTTTCGCTTTGTTACTGTACTGTCTACCGTATCTGGTGTCTAATTTTTGTTGGAGGGAGTATTGAAAATTCGATTACGACAGCCTAAGATAACATGATTTAAATCTGGCTTAAACGATGACAAGAAGAGTTGTTCATTTCATCTTATTCCTTCTTCAAAGATAATCAGAGCCCATGCCCGGTGCCGTACAAGCATTTCATCCGGATAGAACAACACACTCATATTTCAGTCCTTTCGATGCATGTCTGTTCTGACGAAATTTTTCCTTCTTGTTTGAGGTTCTCCTGACGTTTGTGTATTATTAAGTATTTGTCCAACCATCTTAAGTGGCCTGTTTAGATCCAGTGGATCATTTCAGTTGGATACCGAAATCACTGCCTTACAGCATCATCGACATCAGACCATGCAATATGACTTCTAA